TGATATTGATGATAATGCCTGCTGATATTGATGATAATGCCTGCTGATATTGATGATAATGCCTGCTGATATTGATGATAATGCCTGCTGATATTGATGATAATGCCTGCTGATATTGATGATAATGCCTGCTGATATTGATGATAATGCCTGCTGATATTGATGATAATGCCTGCTGATATTGATGATAATGCCTGCTGATATTGATGATAATGCCTGCTGATATTGATGATAATGCCTGCTGATATTGATGATAATGCCTGCTGATATTGATGATAATGCCTGCTGATATTGATGATAATGCCTGCTGATATTGATGATAATGCCTGCTGATATTGATGATAATGCCTGCTGATATTGATGATAATGCCTGCTGATATTGATGATAATGCCTGCTGATATTGATGATAATGCCTGCTGATATTGATGATAATGCCTGCTGATATTGATGATAATGCCTGCTGATATTGATGATAATGCCTGCTGATATTGATGATAATGCCTGCTGATATTGATGATAATGCCTGCTGATATTGATGATAATGCCTGCTGATATTGATGATAATGCCTGCTGATATTGATGATAATGCCTGCTGATATTGATGATAATGCCTGCTGATATTGATGATAATGCCTGCTGATATTGATGATAATGCCTGCTGATATTGATGATAATGCCTGCTGATATTGATGATAATGCCTGCTGATATTGATGATAATGCCTGCTGATATTGATGATAATGCCTGCTGATATTGATGNTACACTGTTAGAAAAATTACCGTTAACGGTATTACCGGCGTTTCAGTGGCCGGTCGGCACGTGAAAAGAAACACCGTGTCGCCGTTTTTATTCTAATTTAACACTAGAAATCCGTAAAACATCTTATAGAAACGGTGAAAATTTTTATTTTCACGGGGCGACCGGCCACTAGAATGCCAGTGGGACCGTGTTTTCTAACAGTATGATATTGATACTATCGCCTGCTGAAATTGATGCTAATACCTGCATGATATCGATACTGTTGCCTGCTTATATCGATGTTAATGCCAGGTGATTTACAAGACCAAGAAGTCAATAGCAAGTACTAATGCAAGAGCTGCATTAATGGACTCGTGTGCTGTAAACATCGATCGAGAAAAATATTTCAACATCAGCATCGGATTCAAATACTAAGTTGAATCATGTACACAAAACACGTCAGCTCCGCCAGTCACGTTCAAGAATGTACAGCTGCTGTACATGATTGCTACAGCTGCGCCAGACGTATATAGCCTGTCTCTTATACACATCTAGATGTGTATAAGAGACAGGTGCAGGGCTGCGTGCAGCACGGCGTGCAGGGCTGCGTGCAGCACGACGTGCAGGGNCCTGGGTCGCTACGTGTGCCTGGGTCGCTACGTGTGCCTGGGTCGCTACGTGTGCCTGGGTCGCTACGTGTGCCTGGGTCGCTACGTGTGCCTGGGTCGCTACGTGTGCCTGGGTCGCTACGTGTGCCTGGGTCGCTACGTGTGCCTGGGTCGCTACGTGTGCCTGGGTCGCTACGTGTGCCTGGGTCGCTACGTGTGCCTGGGTCGCTACGTGTGCCTGGGTCGCTACGTGTGCCTGGGTCGCTACGTGTGCCTGGGTCGCTACGTGTGCCTGGGTCGCTACGTGTGCCTGGGTCGCTACGTGTGCCTGGGTCGCTACGTGTGCCTGGGTCGCTACGTGTGCCTGGGTCGCTACGTGTGCCTGGGTCGCTACGTGTGCCTGGGTCGCTACGTGTGCCTGGGTCGCTACGTGTGCCTGGGTCGCTACGTGTGCCTGGGTCGCTACGTGTGCCTGGGTCGCTACGTGTGCCTGGGTCGCTACGTGTGCCTGGGTCGCTACGTGTGCCTGGGTCGCTACGTGTGCCTGGGTCGCTACGTGTGCCTGGGTCGCTACGTGTGCCTGGGTCGCTACGTGTGCCTGGGTCGCTACGTGTGCCTGGGTCGCTACGTGTGCCTGGGTCGCTACGTGTGCCTGGGTCGCTACGTGTGCCTGGGTCGCTACGTGTACTTGTGTCGCTACGTGTATCTGGGTCGCTACGTGTGCCTGGGTCGCTACGTGTGCCTGTGTCGCTACGTGTGCCTGGGTCGCTACGTGCACCTAGGCCGCTACGTGCAGTTACGCAGGTTCTGATAGTATATTTAAAGGTTATTCGACCGTTTGCAGCCATTCTTGATGATTTATGCAATTTACAATGAAAAATTATTTACGTATAATTATCATGTGATTATTAAATTGAAACTATACATGAAATGTTCGATTAATTTCGTTATAATATTTGCTTCCGATGCAAGTGGAGAGAGCGCAACATAATTCAACTTCGAATATCATTTGATGAGCGTTAAAAGCTTGTAATTTACTATCGAAAATACCGGTGTTGTGAATAAGTTATTTATAAATGGAATTAAATTTACCAATAATTTCAAGTTCGGTAATTATGATCAATATGAAGCGTGAAAATGCAGGTTATTAGGTTCGTGGTCTGACACAAATAAGCTTCAACCGCGAGACCAGACAGCAAAGGGTGACCTCCACGCCAGGTCACAGGGTACGCGCGTGTTACGTGCCCTCTGACACACGTGCCTCGCTACACGTGCCCTCTGACACACGATCCTCGCTTCACGTGCCCTCTGACACACGTGCCTCGCTTCACGTGCCCTCTGACACACGTGCCTCGCTTCACGTGCCCTCTGACACACGTGCCTCTGTCTCTTATACACATCTAGATGTGTATAAGAGACAGACCGTCACCAGCATCACCATCACCAGCATCACCATCACCAGCACCAGCACCATCACCAGCACCGTCACCATCACCATCACCAGCAGGCTTGGCAGTCGCTTGACGTGTTGGCAGGCGCGTATGAGCGACGCTTGGCACACACGCCAACACGCTGCTGGTGTAGTACACGCGCTACACTGCAGCTACACGCTAGACG